TCAATCAGTATGATATACCACAGTAACAAAATGAAGGATAAAAATCACACGATCATCTCTGTAGAAGCAGAAAAATCATTTGACAAAATTTAACATCTATTTATAATAAAAACTCACAAGAAAGTGGGTATAGAGGGAATGCATGTCGACATAATAAAGGCCATCTATAAGCCCATAGCTAACATAATATTCAATAGTATAAGCTAAAAGCCTTTCCTTTAAGGTTAGAAACAAGACAAGGATGCTCACTCTCATCATTTTTATTCAATGGAGTAATGAAAGTCCTAGCCAGAGCAATTAGGTAAGAAAAAGAAAGAAAAAGTATCGATATCAAAAAGTAATAAGTCAAACTGTCACTATTTGCAGATATGATATCATATATAGAAAATCCTAAAGACACTTCCAAAAACCTGTTAGAACCAATAAACAAATTCAATAAAGTTGTAGGATACAACTCAATGTGCAAAAATCCACTACATTTGCATATACTAATAATGAACTATCAGGAGGAGAAATTAAGAAAATAATCCCATTTACAATCGCATAAAGAAAATACCTAAGAATAATTTTAACCAAGGAGGTGAAAGACCTATTTACTGAAAATTATCACACTGATGAAAGAAACTAAAAACAAATAAATATAAAGGTATTCTTTGCTCATGGATTGGAAGAATATTGTTAAAATGTCTATACTACCCAAAGCAATCTACAGTCTACAGATTCAGTGCAATCTCTATCAAAATTCCAATGACATTTTTTACGGAAATTGAACAAACAATCCTAAAATTCGCGTGGAACCACAAAAGACCTTGAATAGCCAAAGCAATCTTGAGAAAGAAGAACAAAGCTAGAGGTATCATGTTCTCTGATTTCAAACTATAATACAAAGTTATAGTAATCAAAACAGTACAGTGTTAGCATAAAAACAGACACGTATATCAATGGAACAGAATAGAGAACCTGGAAACAAACCCATACATGTACGTTCAATTAACTTATGACAAAGGAGCCAAGAATATACAATGGGGAAAGGACAGTCTCTTTAGTGTTAGAGAAACTGGATAGCCAAACGCAAAAGGATGAAACTGGACCATTATTTTACATTACACACACAAATTAACTCAAAATGTGTTAAAGACTTAAACATAAGTCTTGAAACCATAACGACATTGGTCTTGGTGATGATTTTTTGGATTTCACACCAAAGCAAAGGCAATAAAAAGAAAAATAAATAAGTAGGACTTAAACTAAAAAGCTTCTGTATAGCAACAGAAACCATCAACAAAGAATGAAAAGGCAACCTACCAAATGGGAGAAAGTTTTTGCAAATCATGTATCTGAGAGAGGGTTAATAGCCAAAACATATAAAGAACACATACAACTCAACAGCAAAACAAACAAAACCAACCAACCAGCCAACAAAATCCAATTAGATTAAAAAGTGAGCAGAAGATCTGAATAGACATTTTTCCAAAGATATACAGATGGCCAACGGGTACATGGAAAGGTGCTCAATATCACTGATCATCAGGGAAATGCAAATCAAAACAACCATGAGGTATCACTTCACACCTGTTAGAATGGCTATTATCAAAAAGACAGGAAATAAGTGTTGTTGAGGATGTAGAGAAAAGAGAACCCTTGTTCACTGTTGGCGGAAATGTGAACTGGTTCATCCACTATGAAAAATTGTATGGAGATTCCTCAAAAATTAAAAATAGAACTACCATATGACCCAGCAATCTCACTTCTGGGTATTTATCTGAAGAAAACAAAAACACTAACTTGAAAAGATATATACACCCCCAGGTTCACTGCAACAATTTTTACAATAGCCAAGATTCGCGAGCAACACGTGTCCATCAATGGATGACTGGATAAAGAAAATGTGACACACGCACAAGAATATTATTTAGCCGTCAAAGAGGAAATCTTGCCATCTGTGATAACATGGATGGGACTTGAGGGCATAATGCTAAGTGAAATAAGTCAGACAGAAAAAGACAATTACCATGTGATTTCACTTATATGTGGAATCTAAAAAAATTGAACGCAGAGATATAGAGAACAGACTGGTGTTTGCTAGAGGTAGGGTTGGGGGGTGCAAAACAGGTAAAGAGGGTCAAGAGGTACAAATTTCCACTTATGAAAGAAATAAATCCTGGAGATGTAATGTATAGCAAGGTGACTACAGATAATACTGTATTGCACATTTGAAAGTTGCTAAGAGAGCAGATCTTAAAATTTCTCATAATGGCACATAAAAAATTCTGTAACTATGTATGGCGATGAATGTAACTAGACTTATTATAGTTATCATTTTGCAGTTTACACAAATATCAAATCGTTATGTTGTACACCTGAAACTAAAATGAGGTAATATGTCAATTATATCTCATTAAAAAAGAAAAAGAAAGTTGAGTTTCTGATCAGTTTGTGACTTTGAGTGGGGCAAGTCCACCGGAGTGGCATGGACTTTTAACTGAGAGAGTAATAAATGACTGCTACCTTGGGTCTCTCACACAGCCAAACTTAAATCCAACTCAATTGCCTGGCCTAGACATCCACAAAAATGCAGGGTTTAATGAATCTAAAATCAGCAAGAACAGCTAACCAAATGATGTTTGGGGGACTCAAAGTTATTATATATTGTAATGTGAGTAATACAAATAAAATTAATCTGAGGGATTTTAAATTCATTATAGTTTTTTTGTGTGTGTGTCACTTTTCTCAATCAGTTGACAATGACCAGCATAATTAATATTACATAGTGGTATCTTTACGTTTTCCCTTTAAGCACCAACTTAATATAAAATTCAAATCTGAGCATCCTAGCTGCCAGAGCAAAGAGGGAAAGTATATAGGGTACACAGCTCTTGTTATTTAATGGTTAGGAACACATCAGTCCATCGGAGTAAACAGACATTTTCAAGGTCATGAGTTCTGAAAGTCAGGTTGGAATGGGGCTTCTTGCATAGAGGGACAATCTGAATATAACAAATAAAATTCCCAGTGACAGTTTTACAAAAGACGTAAGTGTTCTGTGTGTGGCAGTTTACATTTGACGCTATGATCCCAGTCTTCATTGAGGGTATAATTAAGCATATTAGGATGAAAGCAATTCCTTGGAAAAACAGCTTTGTGGTGATTTGTGTAAATTCAAGGATAAAGTTTGGGAAATCCACCTTGAAGAATGCTTGCTCCTACGAGACGGTTCCTTTCCTTGCAGCAGCTGTGTGATTCTGAAACACTAGGCTTTGGCTCCCACCACTCACACTTTAGTTATCGTAGGATCTGTGTTTCCTTTCAATTTGAGGGATGCAATTTCCAGATTCCCTTTGAATGCCCACAGTCTCTTTTCCATTTTGATTCTGCCACGGCACCTCATTCTATGACTCTGGGCAAATCTCTTTTCTGGGTTGCCATTATGGTGGCTGTCAAATGAGCGGGGTTCATGAGAACGCTCTTGGGGTCCTTACTCTCCCTCTGGTACCCAAAGTTAAAGGTTTCTGCACAGATCTTTTAGCCAGAAGTCATAAGAAGTGTTTCTGAGCCACACTCATCCCTCAGACACGTTTTGTTTGACCCACAGTTTACATTGAGTTTTGCCAACATTTTTTAAGCCTGCAGACTTCAGCAAAACATTCAGATTAGAAATAGCTGAACGCTGGCGACCCTGGGAACAAACATCTATAATTACAATACATCCTCACTAATATCGACAATAGGTTCTGCAACTTTAAGGGAAATCACGTATAAGGACACCAGTGTTACTAGAGGCTAATTGATCGAAACAAGAGTGAAGTTCCTATGGCAACTCATCAACCTTATAACGGAATGTCGCTGAATGAATGCTTCCTCCGCCTACATCCGGGACCCTGCAACCAGCGGGGTGGTGGTTCCTAGTAAACTCTGACACACTCAGCTTTCTGTAAAGACCCAAGACCAACAGGGTTATGTGTATAGGACCGAGGCCTTCCTGGTGCTCTCAGCACAACCCACTTTCTAGGCGATTCTACAAGAAGACACACCTCACCAGCTTGTTCTCCATCCTGACGTGTCCTCGTAGCCACACCATGTATCTAAGGGGACCAAGCTGAGGGAGGGATCTGTCTTTCCCTCATGTCACTCCCACCCAAACAAGCCCCTGACCATTGGGACACAACTTCCTGGAGTTGCAACATCCAAGGTATAATATCTGATTTTACAACTGCCTCAGCTCCTTAGCCAAGGTGAAGAGTATTTATTTATTTTTAATTAAAGCACACCAAATTAAATTGAGTTTGGAGGATTTTGCAATGGTGTCAGAGGTAAGTGATTGTAATTGTGCCTTTGCCTCAGGCAATGAGCCTGGGAAGTGAGTCTTCAGAACCCACCAAAGTACTTCTTGCAAGAGACAGGAAGCCTTGCTCACCCTCCCCCAGCATGCAATGCTGCCTGGCACTGATGGAGGGAGCGTACTGCGTAATGCAGACCATCAGATGTGGGAGACAAACAGTCCACTGCCATGTCAGCTTCTGGGCCTTTCTCTAGAGTGACCACACAATCCCCGCACACGCTCCTGTCCATTCTCCACACCAGTTTTATCCCCACCTCCCAGCCCAATATTCTTCTGGAAACTTCTTCCAATACATCAGTCCCTGATGGTTTTAACATAAATCACAGAGAAGGCAAACTCATGCATGGGTACTGGCTTCTCTCTGTAGTATGATTCATATTTTAAACGGACTCACTTTTATTTAAAACTCAAATTCCTTCGAAAAGGTCATTTTCTATCACTACTTTAGGCAAATCAACCTGTGTTTTTCTAATGCATACAGAAATAAACACACAACTTTTAAATTAAGATGAAGTTGTCCGCGCACTACCTGAAGTCATCTAGGGTGGCCCTGAAGGGCAGAGGCCACAACGAGAGGGATAGTGGTCTGAGGTCAGGACACTTGGGCCACTCCGGAGGCTGCCTGCCCACCCACTTGACCGCAGCCGCCTGCTCCCCTCACCTGTCCGGTAGCCTGTGCTGTTGAGGTACACGGCAAAGGTGCGACCCTCGTGCTGCGCCTGCCAGGAGGGCGAGGAGCAGTTCTCGTTGTTGGTGTAGGTGTTGTGGTTGTGGACGTACTTCCCGGTGAGGATGGAGGAGCGCGAGGGGCAGCACATGGGCGTGGTCACGAAGGCGTTGATGAAGTGCGCCCCGCCCTGCTCCATGATGCGCCGCGTCTTGTTCATCACCTGCATGGAACCTGCAACGGGAGCGGAGGTGAGACGCTGGCCAGCACATTCTAAGTCGTGCACCCATCTATGGCGCGAAACAGTTAGGGACGGGCGCTGAGTGGCTCTCAAGAGGGCGGCGGCCCCATTCCTGGGGAGGGGTGCATCTGGAAATCTCCGGGGACGGACTAGGCTGCTGGCATTTGTGGGCAGCGGCCATCAAGGCACTGTGAGATGGACCTACACCATCAGGAAGCTTGCTGGGTCCCCATTCCCACCGGGCGTACATGAGGGCCTGGGTAAAAAACTGTTTATAAATCATCTGCGCCTAGAATGGAACTCTGTTTTACATATGAACAGAACACTTTTTTTTTTTTTGCAGTGTATTAATATACACTGATATATATATTTAAAAGCAACCACTGTGTAAATTGAGGGAAGATTACACTGTTTTGTCTGGACCTTTCCCAAGAATTGTTTGCTCTGACTGAAACCCGGTCACGCCAGCCCCCTGGCCCACCTTCTCCCTGACCACCTCTCAGCCGAAATGCTCTACATCAACCACTAACCACACTCCCCACCTCTGTCCACACGGTCCTTCTAGCTCAGGACCCACTTCCCACGTCCCCCCAAACCTAACCCGTCGGTTGAGCCGCGCCTCCCCCCGTTGCCCTCGGGTCCCTCTGGCTTCTGGTTCCCTTGAGCTCTTATTACAGGTGCAGCCTGTGTTATTAGGGCTTCATTCTACACCATCAGGAAGGGCGGTTTCATTCATGCCCACTCTTGTTTCTCAACGGAGCGGTCAGCAGAGTAAGGGGTGTGGGAAGGAAAGAAAACTAACGTGTGTGGAAACCCTACTGTGGGCAGGTGTTCACACTCACACTGTGCCGAGGGCCCCACGAGGGCAAAGACAGCACCCTGCTCAGTGCTGAATCCTCAACACCCCCGTGACACACAGCAGGTGCTCAATAAATGTGTGAAGAGTAGGTACGTCTCTGTACACTGTGGCTGGTACCCAAATACTTAAGTAGCTTTCATGGAAATAGTCAGTGAAAATTCTTTTTCTCTTCCTTTATGGCCATCCTCAGTTCTTTGCATACTCCTTGCAACTCTTAGGGTCTGTAATGGATTGGCCACCCCTCAGGTATGTCCATGTCCTAAGCCTCAGGGTCTGTAAATGTGACCTAATTTGGAGAAAGTGTCTTTGAAGATGGACTTAAGGATCTTGAGGGGAGATGCTGCTGGATTACGTGAGTGGGCCCTGAAACCAATGACGAGTGTTCTTATAAGAGACAAGGAAGAAGCACACAGACACAGGCCAGGTAGAGACGAAGGCAGAGACTGGAGGGATGCACCTGCAGGCCACTGGAGCCCCAGGGAGCTGGAAGAGCAGGTTACGATTCTCTCCGACAGCCTTCGGAGGGACCACAGCCCTGCTGACACCTTGATTTCAAACTTCTGTCTCTAGAACAGTGAGAGAGTAAATTTCTATTGTTTTAAGCCCTCTAGTTTGTGGCGATTTGTTAGGACAGATAGGAAACCGATATAGTGTCTACCAGGCACGTGAGGTTCTTGCTGGGGAGCTGCTGACCCCAATCACCGGGAACCCCCTAGAAACCTTAAAACAGCTAATCAGACCCCCCACAGCATGCTGCCCTGAAAGGCTAAGAACGAAAAGGAGCTTTATATAGCTCTTTAGCCCATCTTTTTGCCAAAGGCGGATGGAAACAGCACTATAGCTTCCCTGAGGCGAACACAGATCACATCTCTTCACTGCTCAAAACCATCGAAATTGCTTCCCGTCGCGCTTAGAAGAAAACCTGAATTCCTTCCTGTGGCCTGAAAGACTCTTCCAGACCTTCTCTCCCCGGTAACCCACCTCCCACGTTTCTCTGACCTCGTCTCCTTTCTCCCCCTTGCCTGGCTGGCTGCACTGGCCTCCACATCGTGTGTCCAATGTTCCAAGCACATTCCTGCCCCAGGACTTTTGTACTTGCTTTTGCCGCCACCTGAGACTCTCTGAGACTTCGCTTTGGCCAGCTTGTCCCATCCTTCAGATCTCGACTTAGAGGTCACCTCCTCAGCAAGGCCTGGCCGTCGTCCCGTCTGAAGAAGCCCCCACCCTGCCACCTTCCCACCATACCAGTGTGTGTTTCTTAGCATTCATCTCCTTCTGAAATGGTCTATTTTTACTGGTTTGCTTGTTTATGGTCTGCCTCTCCTTCTGGACTGAGAGTTCTGGGTGATCCAGGGTGCTGGCTACTCCTCCACTCCCAGGAATATACAATCGGTGCTCCGTAAAAACTTACTGAGTGACTGAAAAAAACAAGAGAGCCTGCCCTTTCAAGCCCAGCACTGACGTGGTTTTACAAGGGATGCTCCTGGAACCAGGTGCATTTCCTGAGCTTCTCGGCCAAGGTGGCCCCCGCTGGGTGGAGGAGGGAACTGGCTTTGTGTCTGAACAGGACTCATCAGGCCCTGGAGCTGTGTATACATCTGTGTCAAAATCACGTGCCCTCCCGAGAAGTCCTCAAGGGTCCCAGCTGTAACTGGTGGGCAATTACAGGCTCTCCACTAGGTGTGCAAAGGCTCTCTCTGGAGCGGTTGGAGGAGGTTGGCTTTTCGAGGCCTCCTTCAGCAGGTGCTCATTTGCCAGGACCTGATGGAGTGTGGCACCGTCTTGGGGTCCATGTCTGGTAGAGCCCTGGGGCCTCGCCAACCTGCGGCCGCTCCTGGGGACCTGGCCCCTTGGGATCCCAGGCAGCCTTCTGCTGGCCAACCAGCTCCTTCCACCTTGAATTTTTTTTACTACAAATTGAGACCTTAAGGTCATGTTCTTGAGGTCCCGGGCTTGAACACTGGCCACATTCCTATCTCGTGGCCTTTGCCTTAGCGATGCCCTCTGCCTGAGGTGCTCCCTCTCGGTCTCTCTCAGGTTACTGACCAAATACCTGAGAGACGCCTCAGAGAGGCCTCCTTGGCCCCACATGAAACCTCTATCCCTCCTATCAGCCCTCCCCACTCCCTTCCCTGCTTCGCTTCCCCACAAGGCAGTTACTGCCCTCGGACACCAAAGTCACTTCTAGTTCACTTGTCTACACGCTGCCTGTCGCTCCCATTGGAACAGCTCCACGGGAGCAGAGATTTAGGCCTGCTTTGTTCACTGTCGTATTCCCAAGTCTAGAACAGTTCCTGGCACATAGTGGGTACTCAACAAACATCTGCTAGGATAACCAAAATGTGATCTTACTCTTTGGGTTTCCATATAACTCAGGAGCCCCAAGTTGGTTTGTTCTATAGACATGTGTGTTTTGTGCAGTGGATTTTTAAAATGTGACTTTAAAAAGCACTGAAAAGATCACGTGCTCTCTTGTCGGCTGCACTCCCCAGCACGTGCTGGCCTTACACCAACTCCGAGCACCCACGTCCCCTGCCTGGAACCTGAAGGCCTTGGTCACTCCCCAGCACGTGCTAGCCTTACACCAACTCCGAGCACCCACCTCCCCTGCCTGGAACCTGAAGGCCTTGGTTTTGCAATTCCTAATATAACTTAATTGTCGAGACAGCTCTAACTTGTCCCTGGGGGAGAGGGCAGTGTTATACATCAAGCATAAGCATCATCATCATCATCGATTGTCGTCGACTGCACGTTGGTCGTGTGCACTGCGCTAGGCACATGACACACATCATTTTAATCGTCCCACCAGGGCATTTAGCAGAAGGGAATCGAGTGCTGAGACTTAAATGACAGATCAAGGCCACAGAGTAAGTGGGACACGAGGCCTTGAACCCAGGCTTGTCCAACGGTAGAGCGGGGCGCTGGGCATCACGTTCAGAAAACATTCAGTTTACGCCACGTGGGAGGTGGTGACGCTGTACCAAGGAAGTGCAGAGAGGTCCCCATGCACGTGATCAACTCTTGGCTTCGACGAGGCCGGACTGTATGTATATCTGCTCCCCCAGTCATCTCAGAGATGACTTTAGCTGGCACACCAGCAATGACAGCAGCACAGGATCACATGACCAGGGACACCAGTGGTGGGAAAGTGATTTCTGTTCACTCCTGATAAATTCCAGGAGAAAGTCTTGGGTTGGTGGTGTCGCATCCTTAACACCTAGACATCTCTTACTTCAACAGGGAGAGGACTGGTCACGAATTTGAAGCTCTAGGCGGGCGGCAGTATTAGCTTACACCTGATCGCATGGGTTATTTTCCTGCCATTTAGGGCAAGCGATGCTACCTTCTCTTATTTAGGGTAGTGGAATCTTGTTCTTTTTGAAAAACGATTACAGCTGTTTTGGAAAAAAGTAAAATAGTAGCACAGGTAGCAGACAGATACGGTGAAGACTGTGGAAAGGTGAGGGGTTGGCTGGCGTCTGGCACAGAATGGCTTGGCGCACCCAGGACTGTCTACCCAGTGATGTTCTTCCGTTGTCTAAAGACACTTTGGGTACCACGGACCCAAAACTGAGCTCCAGATGTCACCTGTGCACTCATGGCTCCTGCGTCGCCTTCCTCCAGTTACTCAGGCAATAGTCTCGGCTGCTTCCTGGCCCCATCGTTCCGTTCCCACTGCAATGCACCAGCAAGGCCTGCTGCTCCTTCTTCAAAGTACAGCCGCAATCAGAGCCTTGTCGCCTCCTCCCTGGGCTGGCAGCCATCCTCTCTCCTCTGAATTAGGTCAACTGCTTCCTGACTGGACTCTGACCGTTTACCCAGAGTGCCTCCCGCACCGTCCACGGCTCCCACTCGCTCGAGGACGAAGTCCCTGTGGTCATCCGCAGGCCCTGCAGCATCCGGTCCCCATTCCCCGCCCACTCTGCAGCCACGGGCCTCGTCCCTGTCCCTCGTCCCTCAGACCTGCCTGGCTCACTTCCCACATCCGAGTCTTTGCCCCGGCTGCCCCTCCTCACGGGGACGCCTTTGCCCCAGTACCCCATGGCCTGCGCCCTCACCCCCGTCCTGTTTCCTCTCAGAAGTTCTCAGGGAGGTCTTCCCTGCCCATCACATCCACAATTTAACTCCTCCGCC